AATCATAATCATTTTATTTTTTCTCTCACAAAAGTCAAAATAGTCAAAAAGTCCATCTCAAACGAGGCTTTTTAACCAGGTTAAAATAACTAAAAAATTAAAAAATCAACCCATATCCCAAACAAACCTTGTACTAACCATTGCTAATTGTGGAAGCTTTACCTTAAAATTTTGGTTGACCATATGGAAAGGATTTTACTTACCAAAGAGGGGGAAAAAATGATTTTAATGAACCAAACATTCCTACCAAAGTTCAACATGGACAAAGAGTAAAATATTGTTAGAATATTTTAAAAATGAAATCAATGATTTATTAAATACAAATCTAATTTGATTAATTTATTCTTTATATCAGAAAAAGTGCATATAGAAAGAAATAAAACTCATCTTATTTTTGGACCTTACGAATAAAATAAAAAGTTTTGCTATTAGATCTTAAAATTAAAATGCTATTTTTTTTTATTTTATTTTTTAACATGGAAAAAGATTTGTAGCCGGCAAAAAATGAGACACCCATGTGGAGTCTGTCAAGGCGTCTTTGATGCCTAAATTAGACAAATATATAAATAACATATTTAACATAATTTTTCTTTTTCTGTGCTAAAAAATTATGTTTACTTTTAGGTCCCGTTTGTTTCACTGGATATAAAATAGAAGATATAATATGATATGAAATTTAGTCAAGATATATAATGAATAGGATATAGGTATTGGATAGTATATCCCCTAAGTCATGTTTGTTGACTTGATATATAAGATTGGATATATGTTATGCATGTTTGTTTTACAAAATATATTGTGGGATATAACAAGTAATTTCCAAGATTGCCCTCATAATATTATATTATATTAAATTAAATTAAATAATATTATAATATATTAAATTCAAAATTTATATTAAATTCAATTCAATAATATTATATTAAATTAAATTAAATTAAATAATATTATATTATATTAAATTAAATTAAATAATATTATATTATAACATAACAAAAAAAAAATTAAAAATCAGATATACAAATAGATAAAATTAA